TTTTTGAGACTGGATCTCACTAAGTTGCTGAGGCTGGCTTTGAATTTGTGATCCTCTGGCCTCAGCCTCACAAGCCGTTGGGATTACACATTGTGCCACTTCACCTGGCCAGACCTATTTTCTTGACAGTCTAAATGTTAAAAGTTGAATCACATTGTGATTTTTATTTTTTATTTTTCTCCTTATCAGTAAGATTGACCTTGAATTAAATGGCTTATTAGCTATTTGTGCTGCCTACTCTTTGACTTGCTTCTTTATGTTCTCTGTATATTTTGGTTTTGAGTTATTAGTCACTTACTTATTGATCTAAAGAAAATGTATATACTTAAGATACTGATAAAAAAATTTATTCATTTATCCACATTGCAAAGTCATTATTCAATATGTGGTGTATTTCCAACAATTAATATGGCTTTTGATGCCTTTGTATTTTTCCTCCTTTAAAAAGACATTATTTTTCAGAGAAGTTTGAGGTTACACAAAGTTGAACAGAAAGTAAAGATATTTCCAGATATCCCCAGAGCCTCTTTGCTATCAAAATACAGCACCAAAGAAACACATATATAAAACTGACTGAGTTGACACTGGCAAAACATTATCATCACCCCAAATCCACAGTTTACACAAGGGTTATTTTTAGTGTGATGCATTCTCTAGGTTTGGATGCATATAAAATTATATATATATATATATATATATATCCATCATTATTGTATCACACAGAGTTGTTTCACTGCCCTAAAAATGATTTCTACTCTTTTATTTGCCTCTCCTTTCCCCCTAATCCTTGATGACTTCTGAATTTATAACTGTCTCCATAGTTTTGCGTTTTCCAGAATGTCATGCAGTTGAAATAATGTATTATGTAGCATTTCTAGATTGTCTCCTTTCACTTATTACTATTCATTTAAGTTTCCTCTCTAAACCAAGTCTTTTCGTGATTTCACAGTTCATTTGTTTTTAGTGCTGAATAATATTCCGTCATCTGGATGTAACACAGTGTATCTATTCACCAACGGAAAGAAATCTCAGTTGTTTCCAAGTATTGGCAATTATGGAAAAGCTGCTATAAAAAAATCTGTGCAAAGGTTTTTGTCTGAATGTATGCTTCCAACAAATTTGGGTGAATTTGTATGACTGCTGGGTTGTAAAGTTAGAATATGGTTAGTTGTTTAAGAAACTGCCAAATTGTATTCCAAAGTGGCCTTATTATTTTGCATCCTACTAGCTATGAATGAGAGTTGCTTTTTCTGTGTACTGTCACTGGAATTTGATAATGTCAATCTTTTAAATTTGGGTCATTCTAATAAGTGTATAGTTATATCACATTGTTTTAAGTTTCATATTCTTAAAGATATGTGATATTGAATTTTCATATGCTTATTGTGATTTGTATATATTCTGTGTTGAGATGTTTATTCAAATCTTTGGATGATTTTTAAATCAGGTTGTTTGCTTTATATTATGGAATGTTAAACATTATTTAGATACTTTGAATAATATTCATTGATGAGATGTTCCTTTTGCAAAGATTTTCTCCCAGTTTTCTGTGGCTTTTTTCTCAGACTCTTAATACTGTGTTTTCTGGACTAGAATTTTTTTTTAATTTTAGCAAAGTCTAGCTTATTAATTATTTCTTTCATGGATCATTTCTTTGGTATATCTAAAGAGGTAATTATCATACCCCTGGTCATCTAGGTTACTTCCTAGGAGTTTCATAGTTTTGCATTTGTATTTGGGATAATAATCCATTTTGAGCTAATTTTGTGAAGAGGCTAAGGTCTGTGTCTGAATTTTGATTCTTTTTTGTTTTTTTGTTGTAATTTGGCAAATGTATGTCTGTTGTTCTAGTACAACTGGGTGAAAAGATTATCATGTTCTTTTTTATCCTTCATCAAAGATCAATTGGGTATATTTATTTAGGTTGGCATCTGTATTGTTTGTATTGTTCTATTGGCAAACTTGTCTACTATTTCACCAATACCACACCTCTTTGTGTATTGCAGCTCTATGTAAGTCTTACAGTTCAGCAGGTCAATACCACAGTTTTGTTGATCTTCAGTACTAATTGTATACTACCAGAAAAAAAAAAGTGATTGCATCTTACACTTATTTCTATATTGGTACCTCCTATTCAGGAAAGGAAATGTATTTAAATTTTTCAGAAAAAAAACAACTAAAGGGAATTTAGAGGAAAGTTGGTGGCAAATTCATTTCAAGCAATATGTATATCTCATGATGCCTGAAATTCAAAGAAAAATGAGTACAACTGATCCATCATTCAATACAGTTAGAAGATAAAGCAGATTTCATTCTTTTCAACCATATAATTGATTCATTTGACTCTAGAGTAGATCCGGTATTCTGATTAAGACAAGTGGTTGACAAATAAAAAACAAATTTTAAGAATAAGGACAAGAAGCTGGTAGTGAAGCATGTGCTTAGCATGTTCAAGGTCTGTGTTCAATCCACTTAGGTTTAACTTCAGCATGTAGATATGTGAGCTATTTATTTTAGATTTTTATTTCTAAAACATGAACTGAAAATGGAAAAAACTGAAAGTTAATTTGGAATTTGGAAGATTTTTCTTGACTTTGTCAATTTTGTAAATAACATCAGTGAATCAAGCATCTTCTGTAATGGGAAAAATTTTTTAAATAATGTGATCAATAGAATTTGATCATATTATTGTTTTAAAGACATCAGAACAGTTTATTAAAATTATATATGTTAAAGATAGAATCTCTTATATTTAAAATAATTTCTGCAAGAATCAAAACTTTTTGTGTTTATTTCCATGATTTACAATATATCTTGAGAAAGGGAAATTTTCATATTTTCTGATCAATTATCACTGCTGAAATAGCAAAAAAAAAAATGTTCCTAAGTTCGAGTTTCATCATTTATAGAAGAGAAATAAATAGGTCAATTATTTGTCAAAATGGCAATTTTATGAGGGGTAAATTGTAACATCAGTGGGGCTAAGGTTGTGGCTCAGTGGTAAAGTGCTTGCTTAGCAAGTGTGAAGCCCTGGGTTTGATCCTCAGCACCACATAAAAAATAAATAAATAAAAATAAAGGTATTGTTTCCAATTACAACAAAAAAATATTAAAAACTACATACAACAAAGGTCCATTTACAACTAAAATAAATATATATTTTTTAAAAAAGAAAATTATAACATCAGTTTATTTATATAAATTCAAATCTAAAGTATAGTAGAGCATTTGAAAATGCGAATCAGAGAAACAAAGGGTCTCTGGGATATGTGGCAAGAAAAATACACTGCAATTTTGTAGAAAAGACTACTGGAAAGTTTGCAGTTTTCAAGAGAAGCATATACACTCTTGAAAAGTTGTTTGGATAACTAGAAATTATTATCCATTCAATGAAAAGATAGCTATTAGATGCCTACTAGAGGCAAGGCAATGTTCTTTATATTTCGGATATATCAGGAAATAAAAAGCAGAAACAAAAAAAGAAATTATTCTCATAATGGTTAAACCATAATAAAAGGGAGACAGATAATAAAACATAAGAATAGCAAATAAGTAAACTTTATACGACGTAAGAAGGTACTAAATAACCTGGGGAATAGAGGAAGACAGTAGAATAAGTATAAAGTTACAGAAAGAAAGAATTTCAATTTTAAATGAATTATAAATAGGAAGTCAGATGTATTGAGCCTTGCAGAGAAGATAAATTTTCAACAAAGGCTTAAAGAACGTGATGATACCTGCTAAATTCTGGCAGAGACCCTGAGCAAGCAGTAAGCCTAGAGTAACTAAGGGGGAAAAAAATGGATCCTTGTAGCTAGACTGGAGAGAGAATAGGAGAAATGTGGTCAGAGAAGCAAGAGGTGAAGATCAGGGAGAACCTTGTAGGCCACTGGGAGATTCTCAACTGATACTGTGGAAAGATAGTGGGACATCTTAAGCTCATGAATGAAATGATGAGGCAGGTTTGAAAAGGTCTACTTTTGTACTTGTGTTGATTCTACACAGCAGAAAACAAGGGTGGAAATTGGAACCACTCAGTAGTGGAGACAGAGGGGTCCTGGAGTCAGCTAACTAGAGACTTATCTTCATGTTGGGAGCTTGAAATGCACTATTTGGGATGTATTTATACCTGGAAAAATAGTCAATCATTTCTACTTTGTCTTTTAAAGTAT